TCGCCGATGCATCACCGATGCATCGCGGTTGTATTGCCGATGCGGCGCGATCCTCCGACTCCATCTACTCCGAACCCATCTGGGAGGCCTCTATAGAGGTTGACACCAACACCAAGATCGGCGGTGTGCCTCCAACGAGGGATGACGATCCCGATCTCTGTGATGGTGGTAATATTCTGGCTTCCAAGGGAACCGAAACGTTACCACCAACACCGACATCCCCATGTGGAGGCAACCCCCTGTGCTGGCGTTGGTGCCAATTTTCAGGCCTCCAATACTAAGGAATCCGCGCGGAACTTGGAAGTTCCGAGGAAAGGGGCCGCCACGAAGCCACTCGGGATGACAAAGCTTGTGGCGGGGAAAGCCTCGGGGTCCACGACCCGCTTCCTCTGGGGCTTGGCTTCCCTCCTTCCAGAGTCCTTTGTCGGGTTGGCGATCCGCTGCACACGTCAGGATGGCGTGTCGCCGGAGTGGCTCGTGGGTGCGCCGAGGGGGGGGCAAATCCGAGCATGCGGGTCGCTACGACGTTCTCATCTCTCATCGCATACAACGATCGGCGATCCTTGCACCAGATGTCGCTCCTGCCGAGGCGAGTCGCCGTTCGTGTCGGTACACCTCTCGCACGGATCGTGCCCCATGGGGAGCTCCACCCACGGCCCAGTAAAGGAGTTAAAGAGAGGTTTGCTAAAAGTTTGTCCACCGCCGAATTTCGCGTGCCGACCCCCACCTCGGCACCAGTCTCGCAAGGATCGTGCGCACGGGCTGCGGTGGAGGAGCCCCCCCGGTCCGTGCTGGCAGCGGTGGGAGGCGGAACACTGGCAGCATGTGCTGAGGAGTGCCGCGGCGCTGCCCACCCATCCCCTGTAGCGGGACAGGCTTATCCGAGGCGGTGGCTCTCTCTCCCTGTCCGTGCTGGCCCGAACCTCGGCCCTCCCTCTGAGGAGGGGCCCCTCCACTGCGCCAAACATAGCTGCACAGGCTTGGGAACTCCCTCCATCCGATACTTCGAAGTTCGTAGCCTCCCGCGCAAGATGGCTGCTTGATGGTCTTGGGGCCCGAGAGCGGTCCCTGGGTCAGAATGTTTAGAACATCCTTTGGGTTTGGCTCAAGGGCTTCCCAATTGGCTCAAGCTTGGCTCAAGCAACTTCGCTTAAGCCATTGGGCATGATGAGATCGCTTTCAGAACAAACTTCAAAAAGCGTGTGGAGCGGATTGGCTTTGCTTGTTTGTGTGTGTGTTGCTTGAGTTCTCCATATCGCGCGTTCTCTCTCGCTCTGTCTACCCGTCGCCCCTGCATCGCCCCGAAAGCACCGATAAACATGATGGGACCAGTCGTCGCACCGAGATCAACTCGCTACAGCAACACTCTCGATTGATTCACCACGTAGGACCTGCCAAAACTGGAGCCACAGCGTTTCAAGTTCGTTTCTATGACCACAAGGATCGTAACCACACTAGATTCGTGGCTAGTTGCATTTTGGAAGCCGCTCTCAGATACTTGACGAGCGTATGCGGACGAGGGTGTATTAAAGAACTGTGGATGAACGATGATCCGTCCATTCTCAGAAGCAGTGAGTCAGGCGTGTTTGATGAGTCGCAAATCCCAAATCATGGAAATCCTGCCTTGATTGATGTGGCACTCCTCCATCGTACGTTGAGGGATATCAAGGAACATTTGATAGTACCAGGGTCGTTGACCATCACGAGTTCCCTTGTGCACAGAAATCCTCACAGGTATACTCTTGCAATTGACCCAGCAATCAAATGCTGACATGGAAGGAACTTATGTAGTGAGGGATCGGCTTTCCCGGTCTCTTTCGATGTGGAGACATATTTAAAGGTTGCCGCCTCTGCAGCCGGCCCCAATTGAGCGACGTATGTTTGACTCGTTGGTTGTCGGGGTACCTTTCCGAGCGCGGCAGGAAGGGTTCAGGTTAGACATCCAGGCCTGAGCCTCGCCCCTTGGACTCATGATTCGCTGTCGCACCTCGGACTCCTCTCGATGGAATGGCCTTCGGTCCATTCCGCCACTATGCCTGGGTTGTGGGTCTGTAGCCTAGCGAATGTCCATTGGGAGTTTGTGGGGGATCTTTTAGAGTGCCTCGTGGATGCAGTTTAGAGGCCTCTCGGGGGCAGCTTTGGAGCTCCTTGGGGTCGCTGTTGGGTCCCTTGGGGGTCTCTTGGGGCCTCTTCGGGCCTCTCGGGTGCCTCCTGGGGCCTCCTGGGGGCCTCGCGGGGCGGAGCGCTCGGATTTTCGGTTCGTGTTCCCTCTCTTGGGCAACTTGTGGGGCTTCGGGAGCTCGAGGGGAGTCTTGGGGCCCTCTTGGAGGCCTCTCAGGCAGTCCTGGGGTAGTATTTTGGACCTCAGGCCGTCTGGGAGCGTCGGGAAGAAAACAGGCGAGAGCGCCAACATGTTTCAAACACCGAAGGCACATCAATTATTTTTCCCTGTCAGGGTTCTCTTCTGGAGGCATCTTTGAGGCCTCCTGGGGCATCTTGCAGGCTTTTTGAGCCATCATGACGCCATGTAGGGCGTCTTAGGGCGATCTTTGAGCGTCTCGGGGCGTCCTCGGGCCGTCGGGGGTCTCTTCAGGGCTGTTGGCCCGTCTTCGGGTCCCCATCGCTCCGAAACTGTCGCGCGAGAAACCGCGAGAAGCCCCAGGATAAGATTTCGCGATGTGGCGTTTGGGTCTCTGAACGACTCCTCTGGAATGAGGATTGAGGTTGAGAGGATGATGGCAAGGACCTCAGGGCACGCCGACTCCGTACCCAGAGGCACGGTGGCGGATTTACATAACCAGGGTAATCCGATGATCATGGTTCTGACGGATCGCATCGCATTTCCGCGCCCCAATGGCGGAGCCGTCTGGGAGCATTTCAATTTGTTTTCGGGTGGAACCGTGGGGGGTGGCAGCGACTCGGGTTAGCGGTCAGTGGATTGGGCGAGGTGGCAAATATTATCCAGGATCAGCGATGACCCCATCCCCGAAGGGGACAAATGGGGTCGGACAACGAATCACAACTGACCATCTCCTGCCCACGAGGCAGGGGGGGGGCTTTCAGCTAGGAGGCCCCATGCGAGAACTTGTCCGGGTTGGTTTACGCGAAGCCATCATCGTCATTTTGGGCCTTGAAATGCCGTTTGTGAGGCGGTCTGGTCGGTCTTGCCTGAGACACCCCTGCAATGGTGGTGCTCCTGATGCCGCGCGAGAGATAGTCCAGCCCATTTCGCTTAGTCATCATCGCCGCTGTCCTGAGGCGGTCCAGCCCCTGTGCTTGAAGCATCCTCGCAGTTCTGGGCTTCGAGGCACGCGAGAGGTTCATCCAGCTTTCCCCCACGCACTCTCGCAACTCAGGACCAATGGATGCCCTGACCTCAGCTGGTCCAGCCAGTTTCGCTTCACACTTCTGGGCTCGGACATGATGTGGCGTGAGGTCGTCCGGCCATCTTCGACTGATGCGTCCTCGTTATTATGGGTTACTCGATGCCATTGCCTCACGGTTCCCGATTCCGTTTCCTCGCTGTTCTGGGTTCGCAGTTGCTGTGGTCAGTTCGTTTCGCTTGAGATCTCCTTGCAACTCCGGGTTCATGTACTTTTGTCCTCACCTGCCGTGGTCCCGGTCTTTTTTTGCATGGGACATCGTCGGGATTGGGTCTTCGGGAATGCCCACGCCCGAGGTGGTTCAACCAATTTTGCCCGAGATCCCCCCTTTCTGGGCTCAGAAATGTCTTGTCCATGCTCCATGCTGTCGACAAAGACCCATGCGACAGTTTCTGCCAATTGTCAGATGAACTCTCGGGGACTCCGGACCCCTCTTTGTTCCCAGTGGCACATATGTCGCTCGGGACCATTTGTAATTCGGCGAGGGTAGCTGGGCATTGCATGAGGCGAGTTGCCCCTCCTTTGCCGATGGAATTTTCGGAGGAAGTGATTTCACACGCTAGTCACCTAAAGGGGTGGGTGGATTTTCCTTGCTTCCGGTGCTGCGTGGCACTTCGTCGGAGGGGAGGCCCGACGTTGCCCCATCAGCCAGATTACTGCTGCTGCAGCTCGCCTTGCCTTTGCGAAAACATGAGATCACTTCGCCTGTAAGGCCGGCGGGTGCGGAAGTCATGGGGCGTCGCGTCCAGTTCGCAGGAGGGGTCAGTGATATGCCAGCATCAAGCTTGGCCAGGCCTTCTATGGGCTTTCGCCAGTGGCCCCTCAGAGTCCTGGCCAACTTAGGAGCCTCGATTCCTGGCCGCTCTGACTTTTGGATTCCAGTTTTGGTCCTATCCGCCGTGCGCCATTCAGAGGTGTACCGATCCAATATGAGAACTCGAAGGGTTCACCTCTCGCCCTCGGCGACAGCCAGCGCAAGTAAAACGGGGACGGTGCCCCTGGTGGAAGCTCGGCGGACATTGGCGGAGGTACAGTGGGAGACTCCGTGAGAGGTCAACGCTGGCTTCCCGAGAGTTTTCGGAGGTTGCCAGCTGTCGTCCGATTGTTTCTGTTGCTTCCATGATTCGGGCTGTGGACAAGCCCTGTGCCGAGCTCGGTCGGCCAACTCAATGACAGTCAGGCCCACTCCACGTTCTTCGATGGCCCACAAGGCCCCTAAGGTCGTCCCAGGACCGCTTCAGACGCCCCCCAGAGGGTGCCAACGGAGCCCCTGGTGGTGCGGTGGGGGTTTCTGCGCGTGTTTTCGTAGGGTGGGGGGTCCCTAAAAGAGCACACGCAGGGGGTCCAGGATTGTGGGGGTGTCAGACGTGGTGGGTAGCGCGGTGGATGTCCCGGCGCGTTTTTTCGCAGGATGGGGGGTCTCCAACACAGCACACAAACAAGGTCCAGGAAGGTGGGGATGTGGAGGAAGGGGAGGTACGAGGAGGAGGAGGAGGAGGAGGAGGAGGGGGAGGAGGAGGACGAGGAAGACGTCGACGACCACGACGACCCAGAGATCCGAGGACGTGTTTTCTTCAATCCGGCGTTTTTTTTCTCGGAATTTCGGACTGCGGGGCC